TTTGGGGGGGGGGGGGGCGTGGAGAGGGAATCTGAAAAATTGCCAAGGAAGTATCCTCCTGGTCATTTGCCTGAAATGCTTTTGTCAATTCTACCTTCCTCCTATCTGTGAATACTTCAGTCTAATCTGTGGACACTGGTTTTAAATTAACATTTTTTGCAAAAAGAATATACATTTATTGGGAACACTTCCTTTTTTTTTTTTTGTGCCAGATTTTGGGCTTGTGACCTCTATATTATCCAGGCAGTTTTGCAACAGTCACACTGTCAAACGTGGGCAGCTGACAAGCAAATGCTACAACACCCACTCAGCTTTTGGTTCTGTTTCCACTTTCAAAATTCAACATTTTAGCTTTGATCCATATGAAATTTGTAACATCACAGGAATTCAGTTCTAGTAGAGTATTTTGAAAAATGCAGTATCTAAGATACTATTTTACCAATTTTCACACTGAAGAAGACATTCATAAAAATACATTACCACATGCTTATAAAGACATAATTTGGGCCCACTTTGCTTATCCAGTCCCTATTCAGGTTAAAATTACTGGACCCATTGGTTGGATTTCTTCCTGCAAAAGGACTACAAGCAAAAATCAGAATGTTTGAACAAAAAACAGTGCATAATTTGAGATATTTTCAGAGATGATAAGAATGAACCAAGCAGTCTGCTATAGAGCCTGAGAGAAGAAATACACTCCTTTTAAGCCTGTCTTTGACACATGCTCCATCGCCATGGGTAGTCTCTGCCTTCACTGCCCCACTCCTGCATGAAAATTCTGTGCTTATGTCATTGAGATTTGGTGGCATTTGTTATCAATAGAAAACAGTTTAAGTTAAACTACTTATTTTATGTTTTTTCAAAACATGTAACTCTCTGAGAGAAATTTTATCAATAAGTATAAAGCCAAACAATTTAGTGAGTAGATTATTCTGCTAGAGGACTTGCTATGAATTTATAGGACCTGTAATCTTTATAAATATTTGTTCAATACGTACAGGAACACCATCTAAACCAGGAAATCCTGGGACTCCAGTTGGGCCCTAAAAACAGGTGAAATATGAAAAAACAAAGTTGATGAGGTCATTAACTCTTAAAAAGAATGAAAACCAAGAATATGTGGTATTATATAGCAAGAAACAAAAAAACGGTCTTGTTTGAAATATGAATCAAAAGTCATAATTTTCAGCAATTAAGTATCTGAAAAAAAACTTCTACAGGCCTAGCAGAAGACTAATACCAAGAGTTACCCATGTAACAGGTGGCACAGTACAGGACAAATGTCTAATATTCAATAGTCATTCAACGTTCAAAGATTATAAAATGACAGAGAACAGGAAGCTGACTGTAACTTATAAAATATTTCTGTACGTAATTTCACAATCCTGCTCCTGCTTTGATAATACCAGCAGTTCAATTTTTGTTTACAGCATTTACATTTCAGGTGTGCTAGATACTGACATTAGTGATTTCACTCTGAGATCTGTCAATTTGGACTACTAAACCTAATATGAAGTACTAAGAACCAGGGATTGCACAGATATGAAAGACATGAATCTGATCTGCAATTTATACTCTGCAAGTGGTAATAAAATTCTGTTTAGTCCAGCACTTTTAAAAGCACCATACTGCTCCCTCCAGCTCCACATTTCTATACCTTCTTTGAGGTTAAGGAGGATGACATGGTATGTGACAATCAGAGTCTGTCTGTTCATCATATTTTATGCCTTTTGACAATTCTAATTTTGCAATCCACAGCAAAATATCTCCTGAAATATTTTTTCAAGAATTAGTTTTCTGTAATTAACTTCTGTGAGAATTTTGTGTGAGCAAGAGTATAGTTTGGCAAATTCATTCAGGTTCTTGGTTTCACTTATCACCATTTAACATTGCATACTGTATACACCTAAAAGAGCTGTCTGTGGTGTTTCCTACCTTATCACCTTTTTCTCCAGCTGGCCCAGGCCTCCCATTCTCACCTCTCTGTCCTTTCTCCCCTGGCAGACCAGCTGGTCCTGTAGATCCCAAGGCCCCAATTGGACCTTGAGCTCCCAGATCACCAGGCTGACCCTGAAAAGAGTCCAAAGAAGTGAATGACTACTGCTGTAACCCCCACAGCAATTCAGAGATGACTCTGTGGATAAAACAAGGCTTACAATGTATAAATATTCATGATTCAGAACAGCTTCTGGACAGCCTGCAAAACTGTCCCATGCATAAGGTGCTGTAGGAACACAACCTTCAAGTTTAACAACTTGTTCAAGGTGATCACTGCTTTTCACCTTCATCAGGTCTCCAAGACCACCTCTCTGAGATGCTTGGGATAACCTGCAAGTCTTCCTGGCTCCACCAATTTAAGTATCACCTTTTGCAAACTTAGAACAACAATGAGCATTTGTTTTCCCACCAGAAAAATGAGGACTCATTTTAGACAAAGGGACTTTGTACACAATTAGAACAAATCAAACAAGTTCCCTCTTTAAGTCATGATATGCCAATTATCTTAAGTTTTTCAACTCATGTTTTTCATAATCACTATCATATCTTAGTGCCTCATTTAAAACCTGTGAAGCTTCCTGGAGAAAAAAAATAATAGTTATTAGCTAATATATTTACAGTAAATATCAATTTTACCAGATTGTTTTAAAAGGGGTTGGGAGGTTGAAGAATGTAATTTATTTATAAATGGCTCTAAAGTTAGTATTTGTAACTTCATTACTATACAGTTTCCATAGACTTCTATTCATGTTTCCAAGGTAATATACATTCTCTTGAAGAAAAATTACTTCCCATGCCAACTGGACTTTTCAGTCTATAACACTAGTGTGGAGCTGTTTCAGATGTGTTGCAGTTTTTCTGTGCTGCTCAACAACTATGCAATCATAGATTCAAAGTGCTGAATAAAGCAAGCTTTCTAATCAGGCTTCACATGTGAGCTGTCTACACTTCCACCCCACAAAAATCTGTTTATTTGCAGGTCTTTATTTCTCTTACAAATATTTTTCATTTTATATCATTATCCTTGTTTACCTGTAACTTGTTCTGTTTCCAAACTGAATACTGTTTTGCTTTCTTTTCAGACTTCATCCATTAATTATAATAACTATAATTAATTATATTAGTTACACAGTATGTATAATCAATCAGTAATTTACTGTAGTATAGAATTAATTATTATAATTAATTATAATCCAGTACTTTGAAAAAGAGCAAAATGGAACCCCATACATTCCTGAGAAAACCATAGAGCTTTAGGACCACTTGAGGGCAGTAAAAGATATTTCAGTATTCACAGAAATAACAGATAATATATCTTCACTTTTATGAATAGATTGAAGGAAGAAAAAAAAGATAGAAATGAAAGATGATTGTAAGATATGTAGCTTCAGGAAGCAAAAGAACTGAACGCTTGCTTCTCAGTGTAAACATTTCATCAGGCTGAATCTGTCTGTCAAAATCTTTTGAATTATAAGCAGGGACTTAAGCTTCTTTTACTTTTTATTTATTTTCTAACTGTCTTTTTAAAATCAGTGTGATTTGACAGTTGGACTAGTGAAAAAATGCATGGTATGCATCATTTAATCAAATCAGCAAAGCAACTGAGAAGGTAATTTACTACCTGTTTGGACAAGAATGTACTATAGGTTCATGCCACAGTGGAAGTAGGCTGGGATGACCACTGGCCCTTAAGCTATGAACAGGAACTTAGTCCAGAGGCTGGGAAAAGAAGTCCTACACTTAGAATAAAGGACCACATGAAGAATTCTCATACGAGTCATGTTCCATTTATCTTTACTTGCTCCTCTCACTTCAGCCTTGATCCTGCTTCCAGAGAAGTCACTGGCAAAAAATCCAGGGCAGAATCAGTATGTTGTCTTCTCTAACAGTTAAAATTTTTGTGATACCAGAATTTCAGCCGTGTAAAATATGATGCAAATTAAGGACTACTGATATTAAAAGCTGATGATTCTGAACCCTTGTTAAGAGTGAATGGACAGTCAGGATTCTGGGTTTTGAGTATTTGCTTGCATGAACAGTTACAGCCTGTCTACTGGTAGTGTCTTGCTCATTCTATGTTAGAATGAATTTATTAATTGAAGTATTTCTAATGCAGGTATTCTGCCCTTTAAATTATTAAAAAAATAATTGGACAACCATTTTAATTAAAGCATCATTTTGAGACAAGTGAAATTAGACTAATAATAAAATACAACAGTTTGAACCATTAACTTTACTGGAAATGGTATGGCTTTGTAGTTCTCTAAACTAGCTATTACCTTGCAAAATGCATCGTTCATCAACAGTAAAAGTATAAGATGTTTTGCACTAATTTTTTAATGCCTTTGTTGAAAACAAAGACACCAACCTGCACCAACTTCACTATTTTTAATTAATAGTGCGTATGCTCTGCATTCAAGAGTTGAAAATTTTCAAAATATGTTATATCCTTTGGACAGTTAAGAAACATGATTTTTACTGCACTCAGAAAAAAAAAAAAAAAGCTGTGATACTGTAGGCATTCTATGGTAGTTATTATAATAAATAAACACTTCCAGGACATGTAGTCCTTTAGGTTGATAAAATGTCTTCATTTGCTGCTATCCTGTGAATTTAATTGACTCCATGGTCTTCAGCAGAAGGTAGTGAAGTCATAGAACAGAGTCACTGAATTCAGAATTCACAATGGGTTTGGCAGCTGATACAACTTTAGCATGCCATGTGAAGCTGATGGATTCTCTCTCTTTCTTTCAGCTCAAAGACTGATAATGACTGGAGCTTTGTTAAGACCAAACTGATACCATGCCATAACATCTATTATCACATCTATTATTTGTGCCCATCCAATGTGACTACCACAGCATTACAGTCTCAGGACAGCTGTAAAAATAAAGAGGATGAAGGTAGTCATGCTCATGTGGAAATGACAAATTAGCTCAGATAAAATGAACAGAATATTATGCCCGCTCTGCCATCTGATGCCAATAAATTCTTCTAGGTTTTCAGTGCCTTGTTAATTGTCTAGGTCAGAAGCTACCATGCCAAGACTATGGTCTGTTATTTTAGCATATCCTGGGCTTGACCTGCAGTAAGAAATTGACTTTAAGCAAAACAAGGCTATATTGTTTTTTAATTAACTATGCTTCCTAACTAAGACTTCAAAAACTTCAGAATCATGCAACAAAACATTTAATGCTGTTTGGGAAAGGCAATGGTCAAGGTTATCTGGAATTAATTTATTTTGATGCATGAGACTGAAGAGGACCTGATTTTGAGAGTGCCTTGAGCACTTAACTGTCTCAAGAACAATGTTTTAAAGGAGTTTTCATTGGAAATAAAAACACTTCATGCTACTCGAGTGACTTGTCTTGCTTCTCATTATCAATAAAGTCGAAAGAAACCCAGTTACCACCTTCAATGAGGACAGTACCCTGTGTTGCAGGCTATGGAGATGTACCAGTGATTTGTGAAATGCACTTACCTTCTGTTCATAAGAACAAAAGTAAAAATGCCCAGCAACTCCATACAGATTGTAGGCAAATAATACAGCAACCCCTTCCAATGTGCACTGGACTCTGGCTTTTAACCAGTCTTTCTCATTTCACCAGGAGCAGGACAGAGCAAGAAGGAAAGTAAAGCAGTCTGTGGGCAAGAGAGGAGTGCTCACGAAGGCATTTGAAGAGATGCTTTATTTTGTAATTTGCTTAGTGAGGTAGGGGCATCTGCTGCTGCTCTAAGCTCCACCCATGTCCTCTCCCCTTTTGGAAGAGCTGGTGAATTACACAGCAAAGCCAAAGCTTCCAGGGCTTGGAGGGGTGTCCATTCTGGGAAGATTCTACTTCTCACTGTGTAAGACTAAAACCAAACTAATTTTCACTGTAAGTCAAGGCTCAAAAAAAACCCAGAACAAATCCTCTTCTAAATATAAACCTGATTAAGATGAGATAAATCTGAAAAATCACACAATTTGGCATCAAGTTCTGTCTCTTGTCCTTAATAGACCAAATTAGATCATTTATTTTTCATGAATTTAAGTAAATGCAATAATAATACTTAGAACTTGACTTTTTATAGAATTGTAGAATCATTTGGGATAGAAGGGATCTAAAAGTAGTTCCAACCCCCCTGCCATGGTTACAAACTCCTTCCACTGGACCAGGTCACTCAAAACCTCATTCCATCTGGCCTTGAACACTTCCAAAGATGAGGCATCCACAACTTCCCTGGGCAACCTCACGACTCTGACAGTAAATAATTTCTTCCTCATATCTAATCTAAACTGTGTTTCAGCCTGAAGTCACTTGTTCTGTCACTACAGGCCCTTGTAATTAGTTTATCTTTTTTGTAAAGAATTTAAGATTATTTTAGAATTTTAAACTATTGGAAAATTAGGCAACTTAACATACTTAGAAACTTTTATTATATTTTTCAATGATATAATATGCTACAAGAACAAAGCACCTGATGATGCAGCTTAGTGTTCAGTGATACTTCACAGAAGCACAACAAATCACAGGGAAGTACTGAAAACCTCATTCACAATGTATACTTAGGTTTGTGTTTTGACCCTGCAGGACTATGAAAAGACAAACTATCCAATAAGCCAGTGGGTGTCACTATTGTGCTAAACAAACTCAACAAATCATAATTTAGCACTGAAACTTTTAACTGCTAATGGCTGAAAGCAGAGAGCTACAATTAGAGCATAGGTGTTATAGAAATAGACCACAAATAATTAACATCAGCATAGCTAATAAAATAAAATTGAGTTTTGCTCTCTACCATTTTATTGAAACAAGTCACTGTTGACAATTTTTGGTTGATTCAAAACTGTAAAAAAGAATTATTTTGTAGAGTTTTATCTTGCTTGATGTGGAAAAGCTTGGCAAACTGCAGCAACTGAGAAAAACCACCATTTTCAGTATGGTAGGACAGGTGAACCAAAAGTATTAAAAAAAGAAAGATGTTCAAGAACAAAAGGAGAGATAAGTAACAAGATCAAAACCACTGAAAATTTGAAAAATGTCTAATATGAATAATGCTAATTTACAGATGATGTAGCTGGGCATCCTATATGACAAACAACCTCAAAGAGACCTTGCAGTGATTGGTGTGATTCTCCTTAGAGACTACAATGGTTCTGTTCCTATTCCATATTCTGGTAAGCAAGATCCAGTTCAAATCCTAACTTCTGCAGTCAGAGAACTGTCTACTCCTCTGCCCAGACACCAAAAAAAAAAAAAAAAAGTGGTCTGCTTCAGATACAGATTTAGGGGTCTCATCTCTCTGGGTCTGTTTTATAGAAAAACATAATATGGTTCTCAGTGAATGTAAGTGAAATGTATAATTGGTCTCAGAAATCTTCTGCTTTAAAATTTACAGTGAATGTACTGGGGAAAAAAAGATCAACAAGTAGGAGGAAAATAATGGTAGAAATCTGGATTTCCTCAGATGCTAGTGTACATACATCTCTGATGGTGGATTTGAGATGAAGCAGAAGGATTTTACATACTTATTTCCTGTTTGTGCAACTTGAAAAGTCAAATACAAGGATATTCCATGTGAATGACTGACTGCCATTGCAATTGCCATGCAAAAATCCATGTTTTAATATATGCCTCTTACTTCCCAAAACAGACAGAATTTGCAAAATTTCCAGAGTTAGTGCATTTTAAGTACGTTTACACTGTACTGTAAATTGAACTCAGATAACCCATGGAACCTACTAAGGAAATCTGGCAACTCACAAAATGTACTGGGGAGATGTTACAACAGAAGCAGTGCTAGAGTATTGATTTACGGATAACTTTGCTCATTCTTACCCCAGGGCAGTGCATTCTTGTCCTGCAGTGACTGATACCAGCTGACTTCCTAACCTACCTGTGACACCCAAGTGACTCAGCATCTCTTGTGAATGCTTACTCCTTACATCTGAAGCATCAGAAAGTGTAAAACCCTCCTCTTAGATTTCTGTTTGCTGCATTCTCCCCTAAACTAGGATAAAAATAAGCCTCTTGCTTCATCTGCAAAAGAACGAACATTGGTCCTGCTGAGTTATATTTATTATTCACTTTGATCCAGGCATTTCACATGATCCCATAGAAGCCAGATCAGGTTGGGTCATGAATAGATGCTTGCTTCCCAAATCTACTTAACTAAAAACAAAGCCAACGGAATTGAATAGGATCAAACTCTGGGGTCAGCACAGGACAGGTTTACAATCGGTCAGTGCTAACAGCAAACATTTTTTTAACTATCTGAGTTCTATTAGAGTAGCCAGTATTTTTGGAAGCCAGTGATACAACACTGCAAGAGTTTTCTAGGAAACAACTTTCCAAAGTAGAAAGAGAGACTGAAATGGTGGAAAGGTTTTACTAGGTCTTTAATGAAAACTGAAATCACAGACTTTACAGCCTACCAAAAAGGAAGAGGGGGAAAAAAAATCTAAGAAGTCAGGTAGAACACTTACTGCCATATGTACTTTCATTAATGATGTTTTGCCTCATTTATCTGTTCTACAGATGAAATGTTTAGGTATAACAGCACTCAGTATGGGCAAAGAGATTTAGCAACACATTTTAATGGTGTCCTATGGAAGAAAGAGTCCTTTTGAGTCATGACGTAAGATCAAAAGATAAACAGTATCATGTAAGACTAACTCCAACAAGACTGTAATCCCAAGTGAACAAAAGTCAAAGTTTCATTGTGATGTGAACAATTGTAATGATATACTACTAGCAGTAGCGATTAAAATGTTTTTTCAGACAGTGAGTTCTTGCTAATGAATAGGAGTGCAAATCTATTTATTGCACAGAATTATATGTGGTTGAGAGAATTAAAAATGGCAGGTACACAAGCTCTTCTAAAACCCAACAGAGCAACTGATGCATAGCTATAATGTTTTTATTTAAAAATTAAATGAAAGTTTAGCTATTTGCTTCTACTTTTTTTCAACTTGCCCAGTATCAATACATTCAACTACAGCCATGGCAGTTTCATTTTCTTATTCCCATGGTTAGCTTTTCTCTAGCTAAACCTCAATTATCATTAACTTGTCTACTTATAATAAAGAAGGCTTTTGATGTTGAAATTTAAAATATTTTCAAATGGGCACATAGAAAGCAAAGTCTTAATACCAAAAGTTCTGAATATTTAGGCTTGTGTACTGTACAATGCCAAGGGCTTTTAATAACCATTTATTTCTTACAATTTTAAGACAGGATTGAGGAAGATGCAAAACTGAGGAACCAGCCTCAGAGCAGGATCCAGACAGAAAAGCAGATAAAGCAGATGTTTTGCATTCTAGACAGCTAACAATAAGATAAACCAATCTTTTATTTTGTAATGGGTAGTCTCCACAAAAGCTCGGAGAGCAAAGTTAGTGTGTCAGAGTGTAAAAGCAGAACACAGCAAAGTTTAAAAACCAAAAGAATTGTAGTATGAAAGAAGAAATTAAATAATCCTAAAGAAAAGTATTCATCACCATACTTTTGTATCGAAAATATGTGCAGTAATCTATGTGAAGCAGCGTTTAGATAAACCATGTTTAATGGAGGGTCTGAAGAGCACTTCTGTTTCTAGTACATTGATTAATATAAATGACTGCATGAAATATCAAGTCATATTACATTGGAGATACTTTATCCATTATCCATCAGGGTACATGTATATCCTTACTTCAGAGCTTTTTCAGAAAAAGGTACAATTCTCAGACTTACAGTTGCACAACAATATTCAATTAATTTTGAAATGTTTATTACACTTTTATTTAGCACTTAGGTCCAGTTCCTTGAATTATTTAGAAAACTAACTGCAAATGCACAAATCACAGTACAGTTTACCTGTGATGAGGAGAGCCTAGAAAGAACCAGAACAACTGCAGGAGATATTTATTATTGACTGATTATGACACTGCAGTGGTACCAGTCAAAATACTTTTCCTAGGATGCCTTTTTGTTAGCACAGTGTTACAGAGATATACCCATCCTAGGCCTCTATTATGAAAATCCTACAGCATGGGGGACTTTCACATAGACATAATCCTGGAGGATTAGGATAGGATCCAAGGACACCAGGGCAGTGATCATGACACAGCAAAGCGTGCAGCTAACTGCAGAAGCACAGGAAGAAAAAGGTGTGTCTTGCTTTTCTGGCAACTCAGGTTGTACACAAAGAAATGGGGCATGTGGCTCTTCCAAAATTCATCTACCATATTCAACCCTATTAAACCCAAACTTAACCATTAGTACTTTGGCAGAAAACAATCTTCATCACTGACAATTTTTCAGTTGATCACCAATCAGGACATACATATATATATGTATATATATATATAACTTTTGAGTGTATATATATATATATATGTAAGATTTTCCTCACACAATGTTTAAATTATGGGCTATCTCTCTATATAGGGATGTGTTCTGAGAAAGAAGAGCCAAGATAAACAAGTCATCACTGGACATATTTCTGTTAGCAATTAGCAACATGCACAGTTACTAACTTTAGCATGTAATGTGAAAATGCCTCAGAATTTTATAATTATTCTTAAGACAAAGAGAATTTGTTTTTTTTTTTTAAAGTTAGTATCTTGAATAAGATAAAAATTCTGCAAACATCTTTTAGAGTCACCTAACCAAAATAAGAAATAAATAAGTTCTCATAAAATTAGAGAATGGCAAAGACATTCTCTTTCAACCAGCCCCTTAGTAGAAAACAAGCATAATTTCTATACTTTACATGTATTAGGAATTACATATAATTCCTACACTGATTTCAAAGAATCCTTAATACAAGAAAGGTACCATGATTAGTACAAACCCAATTAGAAACAAAATTCTTTACAATCTTAGGTTTCTTCTGTGACTGCTGTACTTGATACCAGTGACAGAATTATGCTAGTTTGTCAGATGTGTTTACATCTGAATATTGATTTATTGATTTATCAACAATGTTGATTTTCAGGAATAACAATGTGCCCAAATGAACAGTATTTACAACAGTTCTAATTAGTTCTAATCACAACTTACCCTTGATCCTTTCTCTGGAAAGCACCGACAAACTGAACAATCCTGTCCCCCACATGGATCAATATAAGCATATCCTCCCTAGAAATTGAAAGGTTATGGATTTATCAATACACAACAGACAACAATTACATCAACAAATATTTTCAGCTAATATAACAAGTATTAGCTAATTAAATTACTTTCAAGGCAAAAGATCTCTCATCAATATAAACATGCTGGCAAGGTAGAAGCAGTAAGTAAATGCTTATTACTTGCTGCTGTAGAAGGTGGAAGACCTTAATTACAAGTTGTGTTCTATAATACTAAATACTACAGCCAAATATAACTTAGGAAACCAGCTGCATCTGAAATAAATTTTAACAGAATCAGAATTTAGTTTGCAGTAATGTAAAATCTGTAATCCATCACATTGTTTTAGGAGATTGTTCAACTACAATGAAATAATAAAAGGCAAAACAAGGTGAAGGAGCAAGAAGTTCACTCAGAGATAAGACTTTGAATTTAATTCTTGTCTATTAAATGAAATGAAGAATATGCATGGTGTAATTATGCATAGCCTACTATTCATTTACTTATTTCTTGTATTAAAAATTGATATTATTGTCCTTTTAATAGCAAAGAATTAACTGGTTTTTTCATCAAATTGCAATAAGAAAAAAAAATAATATTCAAGTGGAAATGAAAACACAACAAAACGTAAATTCAGTAGATCTTCTGTGTGGTAAATTAACTTTACTTCATTGTTCTTTTCTATTTCTCCAAATATAGTAAAAAAACACACATAATACGCACTTATAAACTAAGTTGGAATGTCCACTAAATAACACTCTTTCCAGTAAAACTGTGTAAATTATCAAAGATATTTTTAAAATAATTTGAACAAGGAGGTAAAAGATTTAAGAATAATGTAAGTAAACAAGTAAATGGTGATAAAACAAATATTTCTGCAGTGTGGGTTTTTATTATTGTCAAGGTCAAGATTGTTTTGTTACTGGTTTTACTACCCAAGAGAACACTATAGGCTCCTACTTCAGTGTTTCAAGGATAAAACACTGACAAATATTAGATAAGGAGGAAAAATTCTGTTCTATCTATAACATTTTTAGAATATCTAGAATTCCCAAACCTCAGAACAAGAGGGTATGATGGTCTCTCTCACAGACTACTTGTCTTTCACACACTGCATTTCCCATGAAATTACTGATCTACTCCGCACTAGTCTCTCATGGAGTTGTCAGAATCTTGCCTCTCCTGGAATGTCAATAGAATACAAGTTTCCAATAACAGAACTATTACCCTTTCTTCTGATTAAATACTTATTTTTAAAAAAAATATTCCCATCCTTGATAGTTCAAATAAAAAAGGATAAGTTTGGGGATAAAAAAAAAAACAAACAACAAAACTCTACAAAAAAAAGAGCTTCTAAATATTTGAAAGCATACAAAGAGGATGGACTTCAAAGAAGTTTCAGTGAGGGCATTGCAAACCTAAGAGTAATATGAAGGCCAGTATAGAGACGATAATAAATTAGATATTGAAACTATATTATATGTGAAATTTTGGCTTCAGAGAGAGGGGACTGTCCACAGAAGCCAGTTTAAGATCTAGGCTGGCATACAGAGCAGGATGGAAAGCTACAATTGACATGTGGCATAATGCAGAACCATTAAAGAGACTTCATGAGGAAGGAGACAGACTCAGTGAACAAGGGAGGGTTTTCTACATGCAGCTTTCCAAAAAGCACTTCAAGAAGCCAGAATTAGAATCTAGGAAAATCCAGAGCATAGAATTGCAAAATAGGTAAGCTGAGTAGAAGAAAGGGAAGTCAGAATGGCAGAAATATGGAAAGGAGCATTATGGTTTTCCCTCAGAACTTTTTGTCATTTTGGTGCATGTGGTGCTACTTGTTTGAACTCTACCATTCTCTCACCTACCTAAAGTAAATATTAATGTCACTTACCCCATCAATTCCTTGACCTGAAAAAACAATCAGCAGCCACCTGATTTAAAAGAAGGAAACTAAATTAGAACTACACTCACAACATCAAACCTTCACAAAAATTTGCCTGGAGAAAGTGAGAAGTGATCAAGTGTGCACATGATTAAGTCCTACTTGGGGTGACTATATAGTATTTTTATAAGGGGTTCATACCATCAAAAATGGCCTCCCACACTGTAAATATCTGTCTTTTTGGATTTGTGAGACTGAGGACAGACAGACAGGTATGAAAAAGACTGTCTAAAAGTCATTATAATTCCCCCTTGTAACCTATTTTCAATCCCACAATTACAAAGGGCCAGAGAAGAACCATTCCAGAGATATTTCTCCATGGACACCATGAGGTGAAGACTGAGTAGAGATGGGAATGATCTGCATCTACCTTAAAATCGGTTAGCTGGTGCTGTTTTCTTTTGCTCAGAGAAAGAGGGCAAGAGAACATAGAGAGGAAAGCCACATTCAGAATAGCCACATGATTCCAGAGCATCTGCTGGGGAAGACCAGCTCCATGCCAACCATTGCTAGTGATGGCTTGTAAAGTTTACAAAAAAAACCACACTAAAATAAAAAGGTAGCCCAAAATTTCTGCAGCAATACAGAAAATAAGCATTTTTTTAAGTTCTTATTAGTGCTAATATTATTTTTACTAAGAACTAAGGTGCTTATTCATTACATGAAAAGATAAATTAGATACAGCCATAGCATACAGACTGCTGTGTACTATTCTCCAGGCTACACTGATGCCAATTTCAAAATTACTCCAACTTTGCAATTATCTAGGCATTTCTAATTACTGTTAAATTGATAGATAAGAATATATCTCAGTGAATCTGGTTAAAAAACGTAGTGATCTGTAAAACTCACCAGGCAGCTGTGATAAGCCACTTAATCCGTTCAAATGAATCCTTTGTTAATGCCATTCCCGCTGATTGAGGATTTGTATATGCAGCACTTTTTTTTTTCTTTAAATGGCAGGTCTTCTCTTTCCTTCTGTTTGTGGATGATCTATAAACACTGTTACATACTGGTGTTGTTTTCCCCTCTGAACCTGTTTATATTAAAATACACCTCCAATGTACACATGAATAATTACTGGATAACCAAAAACAAGTTTTAACCATTTGTATGTGTTAAACTGCACAGCTTTGTGTTGGTACTACATTATATTCTTCCTATTCAGACCACGTTTTATTTAATCAGCAATTATTTCAAGGGGACTATAATGAAACTGCAGATCAACATAAAAAGGGGTACAATATTTCAGCCTAATAAAGGTAGTCCTCATTTTGTGTTTAAAATAATGAACAAAGAGCATCTTGCATCATTATTTCTTAAAAAGTTCTCATAGCCACCATTTTAGTTAAAGGCATTAAGACAAAAGATGCAACACCAATAAATAGTAAGAAACCTAACGAACTTTAAAAAAACCCCAAACCCAAGAAATTGTTTGCTATGGTTTTAAGACCAGACTGAGCAGCAGCATCTTTTGCAAACTGGACTGGACCAGTCTGTGCCAGCATCTGAGCAAAGGAGGACCACTCTGAATGCAGAAAAAAACATACGCATTTCAGCTAAGAGTTCTACCCCTATGAATGGACAGATGACAAACTGGACACATCACCTAGAGTTTTTTAGCTTTATTTTTAGAACTTTTTTTTCTATAGCTTTTGACAGGATTTAGGAAACTGGAAGCTCTGTGTGCAGGACTCACCAGGGGCCTCCACTATCCCACACAGTCAAATTTTGCATACATAAATTGCATACGTAATAGATAATTGGCATCCATAATGCATCCCTGACCTATGACTTAGGTACAACAGCAGTTTTATTTGTTGCTCTGACCTTTTTGGAAACTTGAGCTTCACAAATCCAGAGACATAGCAAGGTCACGTGCAAACTTTACATCCCCAAATAAAAAAAAGAGCTGCAATCCTTTGTAATAAGGCATGTCTGACAAACGAGCCACATTGGTTATTTCAAACTGAGGGTTTAAGGGATGGGCATCTCCTAGGTTAGCACAGATTATCACAGGCTTCTGCTTTTTAGCACTCTAGTATTCCAAATGTGGGAAATACTTTTGAGGAGACTGAACACTAACTAGAGTGAATGGACAGGGGTTTGCTTACTTTGGAGAAGTCTCTTGAGAAGGCAAAGACACTCAGCTCCTGAGCAGGGAATAAGGATGTGAAGTGCAGCAAACTGGCTGCTCTCTGATAGCTGTTCAGGCAGCAGCCATGTGTTTGTTAAACATGTGAGGGTACAGTTCCTGAAACATTACTGTTTTGCTTTCTATTATTTGGATAGTCTAGCATCTTTCTAACCAGAACTAATCTATAAATAATATTGACTCCTGTGTGTATGCACAGTATATCCAAATCCCACAGTACTATGAGGAGACTTTGGAAGCTGCTGTGCACTGAAAGATGAATAAATAGCCTAAAGGCAGCCAGTCCATGCTGCCAGATAGCTCCCTATATGAACTGTACAGTACACCATTCATCTGTCAAATTCTTACAGTCTTGCTGTGCCCCAGTTCCCCATCTGTAAGAAAAGTAAAAAATAACAACATCCCTACTAAAAAAATAATATTCCAACAGCATTCCTAACTCACTGATTTTTTACAGTAGTAATTGTGGTAGTTCTGTACAAATGTGTGTCTACTACCTTATCTCTAACACCAGTAACTTCTCATGTTAAATTCCAGTAGTAGATACTATTTTTCACCATCAATCAGGCCTGAAAACAAGAGAATTCTTTTCCTTTCCCTCCATAACTTGCTGTCTATACCAGCTTGCTCTCACAGATGTTGGATATTTTAAAGTCAAGTTGCTTTAACATGTTGCTATGTACAAGATCTTTGGTACTGAAGAAAATGCTCACCTCTTCCAGAAGCATGTTCTTATTGCTACTACCAAACTTTTTGGAAAAGGAGCTTCTGGTAATCATCTTTCACAGCAGATTTCATAGGAGTTTGACAGTATGGTCTACTGAGATCCAGCTTTACTCTTGTGCCTGTCAGAGAATCTGTTTCACAATGCTCTGTGGCTGCTTTTCTGCTCATGAAAGCCTGTAGCTTTATATTTCATGAACACTACTAAATTTATATACATGTATTAGATAGTTGCTTTTACTCTATCACTTCTAGTGCAAATAAAACCTGTAGCATGGGATTTCCTGTATAGCATCCATGAACACTCCAGACAAAATAAGGCTGTTGTGGCTGGCACTGCCAACATGCTAAGTTTCTACCTTCTCAAAACAGCACTCTATATTGGTGAAAGGTTACCTTGGGCATGCAGCAGCTCTGTTAATAATATAAATGTGGTAAACTTTACACATTGCCAACACTTTACAAATCACAACTCCATTCGCAAAAGCTTTCTATCATATTACATGGAAACCCTGGGGAGACTGCTTTCCATTTCTGCGGTGGGGCAGCACTCCCCCTCTGGGAGTTTCCTGTGTCTCATTAAGAAAACACTCGGGGAGAGGAGAGCGCTGCAGAAGGAACTCCCGCCCGTGCTCGGGAGCGCCCCGGTAGCGGTGGGATGGCTCTGGGGGCCCCGGCTGCCGCCGCCGCCGCCTTTCCTGGTACCGCCTCGCTCCCGCGCGGTTTCACCGTGCCCTTCTCCCCGCCGGGACCCAGGGCCGACCCCGCTCCGTGCGAGCGCAGCCCGCACCTCGTTCGGACGGTGCCCGGGGCTGGCCGCGGCCCCGCTCCCG